GATCTGATATCATCGTGTTGGTGTTGTTCCAGGATCAACATTGCAAGTGACCAATCACATTATTGTGACGTTATTCTTTTGCGCGCCAAGCCATTCGTGCATTTATGAAATTCCAATGTTGCAAGGACAATATCAATTCTGCTTAGCGTTTATTAAAGGGTTAGGGTTAGGGTCAGGGTCAGGGTCCGTTGATCGGCGGACAAAGGCGGTTTCGCGCAGCTTAAGTACAGTTTTTTGTTTTACGGCGGTTTTTCCCGAAGTCGCAAAAGTATGACATCACAACATTCTGATTGGTCACTTGCAATGTTGATCCTGGAACAACCTTTACTATGATGATCTGGGAACAACACCAACACGAGGATATCAGATTGTGCCACCACGATTACCTGCTCAATCAATATTACAATTTGATCTGCAACAAACTAAAGTGATTTCCATGCCTCTGTTATTAGGCTATGGGACATTAACATGTAATGTCTAAATATATCCAGCTTAAAGTTTCAGAGCCCTAATGTGCAGCAGCAATCTTAGAAATAAACAGGAACACGTTATCATCTGATAACGTCTGACTAGAGTAGGCGGCGCACACAGGGATCATTTCGGGTTTAAGAAGAATGACATTTTGGGGGGTTGTCCCAAAACGTTTTAACGTTTGCAAAATGCTAATTTTTATGAGAGCACGCTCGCAACCTGAAGCAGAAAGGCCGGCTTAACAGGGAAAGTTAGCATCATGATACTTGTTACCTAGCTGGGTTTTTAGAATTTGTTGAGCCAGCTAATGCAAAGTAAGTTTTCCTGTGTTGAACTTGTGGGTAGGATACTCAGTATCATCACTTATGACTGACGTTGTTCTTGTCTGTGTCGTTATCCGTTGTCATCAGTCGTCTGTGTTTGTTTTGAAAATGTGCGTTTCAGGATGGTTGAGTCGCGCACTGCAGACTAAATCTACCTCATCGTAGGCCAGACGAGGACCCATCACTGCTCTACACCCTCCATTAAACCCAGTGTGAGACCAAAACCAAAAAGCCACAATAGCATATAGGTGAGAGAAATGTGCCACGATAAATACATACATTCAGAGAGATGAGGCAGACAAGCATCTCTGCAAATGCAGTCACATTACACTCTAACATGTAAATCAAACCAGCAGTCAGAAGTCAAA